CTGGTTTCTAATTTAGACAAACTTTCTGCAACGCGTGGAAAAAACAAGCTGAGGTCGTGTTTATATATCCCACCCAATGAGTTTTGGGTCTATTTTCCTTCACTTCGACCGAGGAGCGTTCCACCGAGCTGCCGGACGAGATCTTGGCGGTGGCATATTCGGCCAACAGCGACGCAGACGGAATGGGGAGGGGCTCGGGGTGTGTGCAGATGTGCAGACGGAGGGTCTAGAGAAGTCTGGACTGAGTCTATAATTCACAAGCACCACTGGAGAGGAAATATCATACTTTAACCGTAACCCATTCAAAAACACGATGTTTAGCTTTCTTTGTGTTTTTCTTTTTGTGTGAACCAATTCAAAAACAGGACCAGTTTCCTAGTGTTTTTTTGGATGTTCCATCTTCTATCTACTCCCGGATTACTAATCATATGGGGAAGGTCGGTCAGTTAGACTTGGAAATTGGTCTGTTTGGGGAACTCAGAACCACGGATGGCCCTGATGGCCTTTTACATCCTTGTATATACTATTGGTTGATTGATAGAGGGATAAACCCCAGTGAGCAAGCAATAGGTATATGACACGGAATCGACCCCTTTGTTTTTCCAACAAGGACATCATTGCTCAAAAAACACGATTGACCCACGATCGAATCACTTGGCATGTAGCCTTTGTATAGACCTTAAGAAGCTTTGGTAAGATCATGATATATTCGAAGCCACTGCACCTGGCTTTATGTCCTGGTATGTCCTGGCAGCCAAGTTCAATTTGCAACTTTTGTTTGGCTGCTATGTATCAGGTGGTGCATTTGCATGTTCGCTCCTTGCAGAAGGTGTTCCATCAAGAGAGTAGGAACGACTGCGTATATAGGATTTGTAGCTTATAGATCTTAGAGGGAACATTGTTCTGGGCTATATTGAGCAAGCCCGGGCTCACTAGCAACTAGTAGAGAAGACGTTGGTTTTAGGCCTGGAGTATGCCAAAGCACGCCATGCCAGCCAGTTGAGCTGACACAGTTGGTTTGGCTTTCGCATGTGGTGAAGAAATGTGCCATAATGAGAGTGTTGCCAAACACACATAATAACTATATAACAATAATACGTTCTTGGGATTTTCATGCGCCAAGAGCACGGCGGGAGACATCTCTCGAGGTTTTCGCACGCTTCGCACGCCAATTCAATGACATCAAAACTCAAGACGCCAAGACGTTTTGTTACTAAGGACCTGAATTAAGACCTCAATACACCTCAAAAGAAAACCGCCCTTTTTTAAGGCAAGTATGTGAATGTGGCTCTTTTGAACCACACGGTGGTGGTGCTCTTTGAAGATTCGCTCCTTGGGCTGCAATAGAGGTCTGGGGGATTTTGAAACAAAGGTGACAAGGTGACAGTTTCGCAGATGTTCCAGTTGAAATGGTAAGTCATCCAGTTGAAGCACACCGCGATGTGTTTTACGATCGTTTTACGATCGTGGGGTCAACCTTTCATGGATTCCTAGCTCTTCGCTGGTTCCAGCCCTTCCCTGGTTATCAGGCCACCCAATCAGGTTAGCTCCTGTACAGCCTGAGTACAGACTGGGCAGAAATCCATCGGGCAGATGTCTGTCTTCGTGCCCTGGTAAGTGCTAAGTACAAGTCCGCACACACACACACATTGGGTATGTATATGGTTGATAAGGGAGGACACAGAGGAGCTCACTCCAGTCATTACCCATGTCAACAGGAAGAACTTGCTGTCACGATCCTGCACGACATGCTTCAGTTTCAGCCTTTTCCAAACCAATGCGTGTGGGATTGCACCAACGGAAAGATGCTCTTCAAATGTCAACGGGTCTTTTGGTGTCTCTTGGGTAAAGATCCGCTACGCATATTCCTTTCATGCCAGTTGTGTACAAAAAGAAATTTGGGAGGCTAAATCTCAGTCAGCCTTCGCAAAGAAACTGAGATCCAAACTCCAGACCTCCAGCCTCCAGACCTTTCTTTCTCTTGCGAAATAGAGAAGTTTCAAATAAACTGAGATCCAAACTCCAGACCTTTTCCCTGCAGACCTAGAGAAGTTTCAAGTTTCAATCCTCAGGTTGAAGTTCTACCTCTCGCTCTACGGGCACCGCTTGCCCGTCATGGCACTGGACGTCTCCGACGATTCGCAGATGATCGCGTCCGGCTCGGCCGACAAGAATGTGAGGCCGACAGATGAGCGCGCCACACGCCGCACCGGGCCGGCCTTGAGGTTGAGTGAGGAGACTCCAATCGCCCAGATGAATGGACTATGAGTTCACTTCTCTACTAAATGTTGGCACCCACGAATTGCATGGTTCGGAAGGACACGCAGTGGCCACTGTAAGCACACATCCATCTCTGAGACAGCCTAAAACCATATTGAAATATCAACGGTACTGCTGCACTGCTGCTTTGCAAGGAGTTTCTACGCACTCGTAATTACAGAACCAACACATTCCAATTGCATACAGAACGGCAGGGTGACAGTTCTGTTTGGCATCATCCAGAGTCAGACTCCCAAGGCAGGTTTAGACCCTCATCACATATGATTATATTAATATGATTTTTATACCTCCGCCAACACCAACACCCCATCACCCGCGCTCCTCACTTGGTTGGCCGAATGCACGGAATTGCCTGACTCACTCCGCCTGACGGAGGCTATGGAGTTGTCAGTTCGGAAACTGCTTAAAGTCGTTGAAGGCGCATAGCGAGTCGGTGATGCAGGCGCGCTGGACCAGTTCGGGCCCGTTCGTGGGAGTGCAGTCGATCTCTCGTGCAGTCGGTTGACGCCGTTCATGGGTCTGGAAGAAATGCAACGGCTGGGGCGGTCAAACCCCGGAGATTGACCTGCCTGGTATTCGGTTCCTTAATCTTCGGCGGTCAAAAAGGGTGTCCCGGTGACATGACCCACATCCAAATACCGCATGCTGACCTGCGAATTTGTTTTATTCTTGGACTGGTGAGAAACGCTTCCACACTTCTGTTGAAGGTGTTGAAGACACTTCTGAGATACCTGGAATGAACAAAAGCGGTGCAAATGCCGTTTTGTCCCCTGACCGGTCAGGTGGTTTGTTTTCCCGAAAGCGGTACCAGGACGAGGAGGTCACGGGATGCCGATCGTTTCGTTTGAAGCACCCAAACCATGGCAGAGCAATTGGTTGTTTTGGCATGTTTTGGCACCCTCTAATACGGGTGTAAGTTGTGTCGACCAGGCTCAAGAAGGGTACATAAACCTTAAACTCGATTGCTTGGGATGTGATCATGACTCATGACTCAAGTGCTTGCTGAAGCTTTCCAGTGTCACAGCTATAGATTCCAAGGGCAGCTGTGGTGAGGGGTGGAAGATCATGATGAAATCGAGAACGTCTCATGGCGAGTACCAGTGCCTCTCAAGGGGTGTTTGTTGATCGACCTTTGATAGACTTCTGCTAGTTTGGGGTGTCTATCAACCTCCAGTAGCTCCTGTGGCTCCGGCCCGTCCCCTCGTGGTCCCCTTGATTTGCCTCCGCGCGGTCCGCGGTCCAAGGTGCGCTTCTTGCCGGGCACTCACTACTTGGCGACGGCCGGACGCGATCACATGCTGCTCGGTGTGGAACAGCGGCGTGCAGGGCAAGATAGACCAGCAGACTTGAGGTGCCCGAAGTCAGGTTTGGGTTATGCCGTTGACTCAGCAGAAAGCCGTGTAGAACAACAGACAAAACACAAAGAAACGGCTGAGGCTGAAGCTTTGGGATTGCGACAGCTATGAGCTCATCACCTCATTACAGGGCCACGCCTGTGAGATCTTGGCCATGGCCTTGTCCCAGGAGGGTTTGGGCTCACATGGTGGGGGACTAGCTGATGGAAGGTGTTTCATGGTGTTTCTAAAGAAAAACCGTTGGTTCGTTTTCTCATTTGGCTCGTGGTCCAGATGTGTGTGAACTTGAATGGAAGTCAATGTTGTGTGCGATTTAGGGCTGCTTACTTATTGATTTTTGAGACTGACAGGTGGACTTCCACTTACAGTAGTCCTTAAGGTGCATTGGTAGCAACATGTTCATGACCCCAGGCCTCCACAATTGTCGAAAGGGAGCACCACCGCAAGTTGCGAGCCCTTCAACTTGCATCATGTGGTCAACTTCATCCAGCTTGTGATGATCTTGTGTATGTTCACTCCAGTCCAGACACTCTGACCCCTGCCATTTCTCAGCGAATTCGAGGCTTCGAATCCCGCCGTCCTCCACGCAGGACGCCGCCTTCATTGTGACGGCGGGGAACGACAAGCAGATCCGCATGTGGAAGCGCACTCAGGACATCGACATTGCGTTCTTTTGGATGTTGTAGATTGTCAGTTGCTGTCTCTTTTGTTGAGTTATATACCGCTCAATATATTGTTTATCCCAAGAAATGACCTTTTTCAGGTGGGTTGAAGCCACTGACCAGATTTTTTTCACTTCCAACTGCAACCAGCGGCCTACTGGTAGAGGCTTAGGCCCGGCATGATTTAGCATGGCATGATGCCCCAAAATCGTGAACAGTAACGGCATGTTCATTTTATTGACCCGAGGGCTCCAACTACCTTTTGAGAAGGTGGTTCTGTGTTCCACAGTTATGTTTGGTTCCACATGAACATCTACAGGAAAATTACCTGACAAACTTTATTGGGGAAAGTCTATTTTGTCCGTGGATGATGTTCCTGTCAAACAATCCCTTAGCCTAACAATCCATGTCTGGAATGTTTAGTGATGTTCAGATGTTTTAAAGGGTCAACGTAGGTTCTATATACATGGATTGGATGGTCTGGGAATTCTATGAACATTTGGATGCGTTGTGCCTTGCTCGGCCCGCCATGCGAGTCGGGCCGCGAGACCCTCGCCAGGAGCAGCTCTTTCTGTCAGAGGAGCGCGCCAAGGACCGGACGCGAAGCTGCTAAGGTCCGGTAAGACTTTTGATTAATAACCTCCCATCCTATCTATATGAAGAGGTTTGAAACCTGAAAACAGAACACACTCACAACAGCTTCGCAGTGTGGCAGGTGGTCCTTCCTAAGTTCTTGAATAGAGGATATGATGTACATGTCTCAGACACGTGGACAAAACAATTGCTGCGACCGGGCTTTAACATTCTTTAACTAGGTTTCGAACAATAAGGACCTTCACTATGTTTGGTCAAAACAGATGATTTACGACATTGGGGACTAGGTTGGTTGGGCGAGCATGGGCGAGCTGCAAGCTGCGAATAGAAACAGAAAGAAGACGAAGACCTGCGACGTAGCCGAAGACCTAAAGACTGCTTCCAACCACTCACTGAACTCATGGTTCGTCGGCGGGATGTCTTCGACCACGAAATCCACGAACATCTCGTGTCGAAGAAAGCGGGCCGGCATTCGGTGTGTCCGTTCGTCCCAAAAACGATGCGATCAGGAACTCGAAGATCAATTCGAGCAGGAAGTGGAACGCGAGGAGACGCACTGGGGCACTGGGGTCGATATGGGTCGATGAACGCGAGGAGAAGGGTCTTTTTATGTGTTTTTTTCGCCGGCTGGGCCTGGCCGCACTGGTTGATGATTGGTTCACTCATGTTCAATCCAAGCGTCGAGGTTGGTTAGAATGTCATGTGGTGCTTGTCTGGCGGTCTACACGTTTGCGAATCCATGGATTCAGCAGCTTTCCGTGTCACCAAAAGCGGTTCTTCCCAGGACCTGCCCGGTGCCGCCACGGCACCCCGACCCTCGCGGCGCACCGTGGAGAGCGCCGCTGGGACGGAAGCAGAGACGTGCCAAAGGGGGTCAACGCAGGACGCAGGCGAATCCTGTGAAGGAGGCTTTTTGGGGTGAGACTTGGGGCATGATCATCTATAATTACATATAACTACCATAGAGCTTGTTCTGCCTGTTTTTCTTGGTGGCCTGGATCCTTCTCCAGAAAAGATTCCATGGTATATCATGGTATCTGGTGACAATGAACCGAGAGAAGGCATGGCAAAAAGCTTAGACTTAGCCCGCACTCTTGCGACCCCGCGACCGAGTCGTTCTTTACGAACAGACCCACCGGGCGCCCCGCCGTTTCCGGCAGACTGAGGTTCGGACGACGGAGCGCTTGATGGCCGCTTTGGGTGATGGGAAAGGGTGGGGAGATCGGAGAGCAGTTGGCAATCGTGAGTTTGTGTATTCCAGTGGGGGTACACGGTACACGTACTACTATTAATATATCATAGTACTGGACCTTATAGGAAATCTCAACCACTTTGCGTTGAGGTCCCACGTTTTGGGAAAACTCTCAGAAACACCCACACAGGCAAGGTGAGGAACACCGGCAGGCGATGAACACCGGCTCGACAAGAGTGCCTATTCAATCTATCAATTTGTCCACGCATGTGTTATCATTGTTCATCATTTGTGTTTTGGCGAGCCATGTTTCCAGCACAAGGACCAGCAATAGTTTGTAGAGTGGCACACGGATACTCTGCTCCTGCAGTCTCAGTGCATGTCACCAGCATCGATTGTCGTGCCCATGGCTTCAATAAAGTGCGACCCAACGTAGTAACCTTTGTTGGCATTTGCACAGTAGCCAGGTGTGCTCTGCAGAGCTTGGTTACTCGACGCAGCCAAAAGCGTGGTTCAGGCGCAGAGAATTCGAAGAGGCCACAGTTGCTGCTTCGAAAAGGGCGCCAGGTCCGGCTGCTGGTCGATGCTGATTCTGCCAGTCCTGACCATATCAAACAGGCCATTGTGCTTTTGCAAGAAAACTTCAAGTCAGAGGTGGTAACGCAGATTTTTGCTGGCACGGAAAGAAAATCTAAGAATTTGAGGCAACTGCTCGGAGAAAGCGATGTTAGCTTGGTTGCCGTTCCACGGTTGAGTCAGCACCAACTGGGTGAGGCCATTGATGAGGCAATTGTTTCACAGATGCATTCGCTTGCAAAGCTGGAGGAAGTTACTTGCATTGCTGTGATGACGAGCGACAAGGGCTTTGCGGCTACGATGAAACAGGTAGCATCGGAGACCCTGCAGTTTGTTGCGCCGGTGCCCAGCAAGTATCCGTTGTTGGTTGAATTTTATGAAGCTGAAGGCATCCCAGTCTTTCAGCTGCAGGATGACATACCTTCTACAAAAGTCCGGGCCATCCTTCACATTGATGGGAGCGGCAGTGTTCAATTTGCAGACGCTTATAATCACTTGTCTGCAGAACGGGCAAAGATTGTGAGCAAGAACCTGTACGACTTTTTTCAGAAGCAGAGACCAGAATAGATCCCATGCAGACTTCTTTTTAGTGCCTTCAATAGCAAAACTCTGGTTTGCAAATGGATTAGGACCTTTGGTGGTGTACCCTACCAGCTTTGCTTTAGATTCATTGCACGATGCCATCAGAGTGCATGCCGATGGGAGATGGAATCTAGACACGGAAGAGCTTGCATTCTTTCTTCCAACCACCCAGCATGCGAAGTCGACAGCACAATATGGCACTCGGACAGCTGCAGGGATCTACAAAGGTGGTGGCCCCTTTATGCTGCGTGACTCAGAGGACCTTCCAATTCTTGCATTGCGCAAGCTGGGATACTTGGACGATGAGCTCAACTCAGATTTGAACGAAGCATTGCATTATTTTATCAATACTACCCGGAACAAGAAAACACTGCGGAAATTGCAGGTGACGGTGGATTCAGATGATGCGAGCTCCAACATCATATCCAAATTGAGAAGGGCTTTCTTAAGCAATTTTGGCATTGGAGAATGGCAAATCTGTCGTGCTGGAGGTCAAGAAGTTCTGAATGTTTTGAAATCGGAGGAGCTGCTTCCAAATGTTGAAGCGGATTTGGCCAAGGATGAGATCTTTTTTGCCATGAAAGCTTACACAAGAATCCATCAACTTGAGGAAATGCGAACTTACAATTGTTTGGCGTCTCGTATTATACAGCACGCACGGCCAAACAAAGGGACACCAAACAGAGGAACCATTTCGTTTAAAACATAGAGCCAGAGGTTGCTCACATGATGGCCCCCCTACAGCCTCAGCCTCCAACAAGTGGAAACTGATTGAAGGACGAATCCAGGCCGAGCTTGAGACTCATGCCCGAATTCTTTGGCCTTCCATAGTTACCTCAAAAAAGAGCGGTGCGTAACTAGCGCAACGCTCACTAAGAATAACATAGAGTAACTATAGACCCAAGACATTTGTTTTATTGTCAAAGAGGAAACTGGAACTGGAAGATTAAATTGCAGAGAATGGAGACTGCAAAGCATGTGCCTCGGAGCTCGCGTGGTGTTGAAAAGGACATGAAGGATTTGAAAGGAGATGGGTTGCTGCAGCTGAGTTCCTCAGTTGGACCTTGGAGGATGTTGGACCTTGAGTATTGTTGAAGGAAAGACACTGGGAGGCACCACCTCGGAATCCGCGGAAGTGTTTTTGTGTAGCCATTTGTAGGTAGCATGTAACGGCATGCTTCATTGCTTCCTTGCTACTTGTCGCTTCTTTTGTTATATCCCAAGACTTGCTGAGGAAGTCTTGGACGAGGCCAAGGAAGCGGAGGACGTTGTTTGCTTCAATGGCCGGGAGAGCGTGGTTGAGTCGGTTAGAGCGTGGTTGCACCAAAGAACTCAAGGATTCTCCATGGGATCTCAGGAGTTGTTCTCAGCAGTTCACCCAATGTCACTGAATCACCTTCCTGGGATCATCATGGTTCATAGTACCTTTGCGTGGTCTCCCAGGATCTCCCGTGTCATAGCTAAATCAACTCGAAAGACCGTGTCATAGCTCTACCAGAACGCAGTTGAGATGATATGCCCAGTTGAACTACCGCTCAACTGGGCGACCGCGTCTCCTACAGGAACAGCTGGCGGCCGAAGGCATCGACGAGGCGGCCATCGAGGTAGGGCAAGGCGCCATCTGGGGGGGAAGTCGAGAGGTCGGAACGGCCGACGTTGATTCGGCGGAGTGAAATCACAGGGTTCTTTGGTCCATACGTGGACTTTGCTTGTGTGTTGTAAGTTTGAAAATGTTTTTAGATGTTTTCGGTTGGTACTTCATAAACCTTTTTTGTTGCTTCAGATCTATCCGATTCATCGTCCCTGGAGCTGAACACCAATCACAGAGTGACAGACATAGCAGTCTTGTCGAGTGTTGCAGCTGTCGTTTTGGTCACATGCAAGGTTCGAACCCTAAGTAACCTCGCTCCGCTGACAAGTGTGTCCAGTACGTTTCTCAAGAAATACCGTACTCCAGTGCTTTCCCAACAACAGCGAACCATGCAGAATGGCTATAGTTAAATAAACTTAAATAACTATGATTTGCGATTATTTAGGTTTCTCTTGTTGCCTGAAAAACACAAAACACATGAAGAATCCAGTCCCATGGACCCCGGTACCCTCCAGCTCCATCCAAGTCCACAACAATCCATCCATGGGGTGTCGTTTGCGAACGAAGAGAACAGTTCCTTGGTGAAGAATGCCCGGACACGCTTACTGTACCTGTATGGATTCTTGGAGGATTTTTTTTGCTACTCCGCACGTTAGGAGCGCGCCATCCCTGTGCGCGGGCCATTGCGTACATCAACACGTTGATGCTTGGAACAAATGTGGCGCTTTCACCCCGCGGATTTGGTAAGAACTTCAAGCAACGGCCCCCCTTTTGTTTAGTGTGAAGGCGCTTTGATTGGTGTTTAGTATGTTCATGTATGTTCACTTTATGGTGCTTTGGTTTGTAGTTGCCATCGTGCTGGGAGCTGCCCTTTCTCTTTGCATCCATGTTGTTTTGACATCTTCCAGAGGTACTCCAGATCGACCAACCACCAAAAAAGACATAACAACAACAATCGATCGACCAAGCCAATCACCTCCACCCGCGCCGTGGAACGCCGGACATCCTCGAGGAATGCCAGCAACATTTACGAAGTGCTGTTGGCTTTACCCTTCGCCCATGTGCCTTGGTATAAGCAGAGCGGTGTTGGTTTCCCAGTGGCCAACAGAGGTTGAAAGACACGACTGTTCGACTATCCCATAGGTACCCCCTGGTGACGGGTCCTACTCGTATTTACGGTCACTTGACCTCTCTTGGGGGTTCGTGGAGCGGTGTGAGTGACGATTCTTAGTTCTCTCATTGCTAGAACCGTCGATCCCTGGGAACAGCAACGGAACGACGGGCCTCTTGAAGATCTCAATGTTGATCCAATAAGGAAATTCTAGTCGACGTTCTACCATGTTCTACTAAGTTATCAAGTATTCTGGGTGGCTTGGACCCATCCACAGGTGTTTTGCTGTTTTGGACACTCTCATCCAAGCAGTTTATTTGCGAGAGTTTGTCACTTCAAGTACTTGTTCAGAGGTCTAGAGTTGTCTCAAGGCAGTCAGTATTTCAATGCCAAGCCCAAACATTGCCGCTATATTTGGATGTGGGCCAACATTTAAGCTCAGCAGCCACTTTTAAAGGGTTACAGTATGTTACAGTTACAAATTGCTTGAATCGTCCACCACCACCACCACCACCACCACGTCCACCACCACCACCACCGCCGCCGCCGCCGCCGCCGCCGCCGGTCGGTCCACGCGCGTCGCGGCCGTGAGGCGCTGCAGCTGCTGAAGGTGATCCTCCGCTTCTTGGAGGCGGTGGCCAGCCTTCCGGGCGGCGAGGGCGCTCAGGCGCGCGGCAAGGCGCGAGAAGACCGGATGGACGTGGGAGACCGGAGACGGGTGGTGCGGGCGGCTGCGGGCGTTGACAGTGTGTTGGAAGTGGTGACGTGTCGTAGTTGGCTATTTACTGTAGTTAATTGTTATTGTATATACGTATGGTATCTATATACTTCTAGGTCCTAGGTCAGGAAAATATATTAGCGCTGCAAGTCTGCATACCTGCAGGATGAAACACAGCAATGCGCAGTAGAGACTAGATGCACAGTAAATCCATTGATATGGGCTTGCAATGTTCAGTACCATTACTATCCATTACTTACGTCAATCGTCTGGGAGGATAAAACCTATCGTTGTGCTTTATTTGCAGGGTCAAGGTTTCTGGGGTTGATTGGCATCGGCCGCTGGCGGACCCCACTTGCTTGCGGTGATTCAGCCACCCAGCCACCCCAGCAAGATACTTTCCCTACCCACTCACTGCATTGGTTTTCCCTACTAAACGGCAGATGGACCAGTGCGGTTCACCCCTTACAGTGGTTTCTGAGTAGATGAAGGTCCAATATAAACAATCTTTTGAGGACTGCGCCATCTACTCTGAAACCACTGCATCTTCCCACCGCCAAGAAACCGCATCACCCTGATGGAGGCGCTCTCGGCAGCGGCGACGCTGCAAACACCCTGTCAGGCTGCACTCATTGCGGCATACGTGCATCACAGTGCCCTGACCGTCTGGAAGGTCACAGGGGACCCACGCGGTCACGTGAATCACTTGAGATGGGAACAGGCTCCATGTGAACTCCATGGGAGAGTTTCCTTTTGGGTAAATCGCTTCGTCAAGATACACATTGCATTGCTTTTGAAGATCGCTTGGGTCTTTCGTCAAGATCGCTGGTGTGGATCCACCTTCTGCCCAGCAGAGGTCGTACTCCAACTCATCAGTTCGATCATCGCAATTGGCGTTTTCTGAACTCGGATGAATCGGTGGGCGATGGCCCCATAACGCCACCCACGAGCCGCCGATGTTGAGGGGCTAAGAGCCAAGTCATGGGCAGCATTTACCCTTGCAAGATCTTGCAACTGCAGTGGATTGCGGGGTTATTGGTCCTACCATGATGCTATCCGTTTCTGTGAGATTGAGGTCCCGGGCCCGGGGCTCATGATGTTGGGTTCTTTCCGACATGGAGTCCATAGACTCTACGGAGTCCAAACGGAGAGGTGGCTCAAGACTCCTTAGACTCAGACCAAATCCACTGATGGGACCATACAAACACCAGGTGAAATGGATTCCTTGGTCTACTGACAAAACGCTGCGAGTAGGAATCCTATGCGCAGCTCCATGTTTCTTCAAGTATGTACAATTGCTACAAAGCGTGACCTTCATGGACTGTCAATCATCATGAGCAAAGAAGCTGAATCAATCTGATGAACACATCACATGGAAGCGGAACATGGCCCTCTGGAAACCCCTGGAAGACCATGGTCCTTTCCTTGAGAGACAGCTGGTTTTCCACTTCCATGTTAGTCAGTGGGAGGGTGGTTAAGATGTTTGTCATTGGGTTCATGTGTTTTTCCTTTCTACCAGGTAGTCGCATGGTCACCTGGTGTGACCAGGTGACGCCGCGTTTTCGACGCGACGCGCCTAGGTGAGTTGGCAGCAACCAGCAGCTGCCGACCCATCTTGATGAGACTCAAGAGCCAGATGCAGCTCTTGCTGCAAGCGGAGAAGGAGAAGCCGCCACACCCGACGGGGAACCCGCGCGAAAATGCTGCGAGGCTGGTTTTTTGCTCAAAGAGCAAGAGCTCGTAGCGCGTTTCAGGAGCAAGTAGACATCACAAAGGAAGGGATGTTTTTAATGAACTCTCACGAGGTACACGGCAAAAGTTTGAGAAGCATACAAAAACACATTGTCATTTCTAGATAATGTTGATACATGCTGATACTATCTCTCAACCCCCACGTCAGATGAAGTCTGTTTTCTCCGCATTGGAGAGGAAAAAAGGAACCGCTTCGTCATCATTCCACGCGTTCGATCATTCAACATCCGCAGCAGAGCATGGCTATGACTCCTCCAGGTACCAAGAAAATACTGAAACACGACGCCAACATGCCATGTTCTGCCATGTCACTGGCACTAGCATGGTATGCTCCAGCTCGCTTGTTGTGGAACCAGGCCTCCATCAGACAACTTGAAAACCAGTCCAAAACCTGATCAATCATCATCAATCCTCTCCCAGCAAAAAGGCAGAACGGTCTTTTAGAGGCTACGTCCAGAACTACTAGTATATAGTTTCATTCAGTTTCAGATTGTTTTTGTTTCGTTTCGCTCACCTCTCAACCATGTCCACGACCACACCCACTTGGTTTGATCCGCTCGCGACCCGACTGGCTCGGGCTCCGCCAGGATCGCATCGGCCTCACGATGGCGGGCTTGTCCCACCTCCAGAGCTTGATGAAACGCAGCGGGCTCCCCACCGAGCCCCAGGCCGGCCGTCCAGCGACGTCGGGAGAACCTGAGGTGGAAAGAGCCCCAAAATTGGGCCAGTTGAAAGGTCGATGTTGAACTCCGGGCCGTCTTTGTTTTTGGGGGGCACGGATGATGTTGAAGGGTTTGATGAAGCACGGCAGTAAAAGAACGTAAAGGAACTCGGCCTGAGAATACCCGATGTACCACCTGGAGGCAGTGAATGGTCCTTTTGGTGGTACACTGTCATCGGATTATGTGTGTTTTCAGTACCATGAAGATGACAGTTCATTATTTCCCGTAAGATTCTGGTGTTTTTGGTTTGATCAAAATTGTGACAACACGAAACGACACCTGCCAATGAATGAGCATGGCAGTGATCAGTGTTATTTTTGGTTTGGGCTAGTCAGTTGGTCCCGGACACTTGTTGGCAACCTCCGAGTTTCAAGATGTTCAGGCGTCAGGTTGTGACGGTGTGTGCCAACCGTCCTTTCCCTCAGAACTTTGGCAAACCACTCCAAACTGTGTGAATGGCAATAAAGGCTTTAAATTTGAACCGTCACTGGGCAAGACAGGTTGCAAGATGTTCCAAGTGTGTTTGTGTTTGCTTATGTGTTTTTTTTTGTGTGTGTTTCTTTATCAGTTCAGCAGCCGGGAGCCGTTTGGAAACAGTTCAAAGTGCCGACTGACACGAACTCCATATCTAACACGTTTGTTCTGGATTCTACTTGGTGGTTAGAGCAATGTAGAGCAGAAGCGTCCAAGATGACAACATGAAGGAGACTGCGCTCACAGAGCTGACCCAAGGCTTTCCAAACTGGAAAAGTATGTAAAAATGACATTGGATGTTTGAGGAACATACAGTACATGTAGTAGGTTGGGTTTGTCAGTTTCTCACAAAGCAAACCTGCTTGCTATTCCACTTTTGCGCCGCCATGTCTCAAATGCTGATGGCGGCATTTGTTACCAGCGTGAGTGCTGTGTCGAAGATTGTATTGATTTGCGCTGGTGGAGCCTACCTACAGAAAGCCGGAATTCTCAATAAGGAGCACCTGAGAGAGGGTCATTATCGGATCAAGGATTTGACACCCCAACCCTACAGATTGGTGTAACATCCGCCAGGCACATGTGGCACATGAATCAAACGATCCATGTTCTCGGGTTGAGATCCCACTTCCAACCAAAAACAGTTTTAGAATGTTTTGGAAGATGTTCATTTTTCCACCGATGCATTTTCCATGTCTTCCATGTCTTCCATAGGATACGAGTATCTCGCCACAAACTGGATGTCCCGAGAGTCCCACTCGTCTGTTTGCGATGATGTCCTTTAAATTGAGATGGGGTTCCAGATTTGAACCACCTCTTGGGGTTTGTGCCATCTACTCTCAATCCACTATCTAGCAAATTTGGGTTCCCAAGTTTCATTCGCCGGAAGGTCCATGACCAGAACCATGACCCCTAATATCGGAGGTGAACAAACGAAGCCCGTCACCAGGAACCAGGTACCGTCACCATCTCACGACCTGGGACGTGGGAGGTAATTCATGTGAAACGACATGGTCTTCCGCCGCCTTCAAAAAAACATATATATATATATATTTTTATATATACTTTATCAAGGACTTAAGGATCCCCCATGATACTGGCAGGATATTCCCCCAGTCAAGGGGGATACTTAAGGAATCTTAAGGATAAAAACTCGAGATCTAGATCTCGACTCCCTTTGGAGGCATCAACTCAGGTCTCTTGGGGACAAAAGGACTGGGGACTCTCGGTCGACCTCCTTGATTCGTCGTAGGCCGTTTTTGCATGCAACAATCCAACAACGGAGCTCCTTTTAGTGAGTTCTCCTTTCGTGCTGTTTTCGTCGTCGAAGACGCGGGAGTTGTTTTCAGGAGATGCGGAAAGGTGTCTCAGAGATGTTCATCAACCTCCTCTTGCCGTGCTTGCTGTTTACCAGGACTCCACCCATCGAGCCGGTTGGTTTGGTGCGTTTGTTGGTCGATCCATGTCTCGACACTCGTTGCATCCAGACATCGACCCGTCGTGGGAGTCTTTGAGGGTGGGAACCTTAAACAAATACGTGGCCGTTCAACCGTGAGCATCTATAGGACTGGAAAGAGTCATCATGAGTCATCTATGGAACTGGTTCCTCTAGGATTGGAGTCATCTATAGGATTGAGCATCTATAGGACTGGAATGGTTCCTTACATGAAAGGGTCATCATTTTCACAAATGAGCACGCACCTACTCTTCCTACAACCACCTTGCTACAATACTGCTTGGTCGACCCTAGGCTAAGGATAGCAGTTTTTTTGAGCCATGTACTGTACTGGTCTCCTACCAACATCTCACATGGATCCTAAAGAGATGGACATCTTTGTTGGATTCATTCATGATTGATGGTGCCTTTTTTATAAGGCTTCTTGCATGGTTATGCTAGTACATGCTGGCTTCGGGTCTTAACTGTTCAATCAGAAAACGCAGAAGCTGCCGAATTGTTTTCCTCTGGCCGACGGAGGATTTTGCCCACCATCTCAGTTGAGACGCTGCCAAAGCTCGCTTGGCTAGCAGCTGCGAACTTGGTTTATGTGTGCTTGGGTTGCATGAGCGGCTGCTGACATGTGAGCAGCGTTTCTTTTGAGAGTTTGGTTCGAGATGATGGTAAGAAGATGAAGAGGCAACTCCTCCAATGCTGCTCAGGCTGTTTTCCTGATACCGGTGGATTGGCGTAGGCCTAGGCTTGCGCACGGTGTAGGCGGAGGCACTTACATAAGTTGTTTGCGTATTGTTGTGGCGTATGTTACTTTTGAAGTGTTTGTTCTTGAAAAGAGTTTGTCTAAGCATGTTGGGTAGCGAGTAGGTGGGACACTTCACTTGGAACGAGAGTAGAACATGAATGAACACTATAGGCCCATGAACCACACGCAGAGATCAAGTTGAAAGCTGGCCCACAGAAAGGCTCTTTTTTGTTCCTGGCCCCGTGTAGGCTCAGCCGACCTGTGCGGGGGAACAGTTCAACCAATAGCCCACTGAGCACGCAGCTTGACCCTCACCGGCCTCCTTTGTCTTCATGCTTGTCCAAACAATGCTTCTCCTGCCACTCCAATCCACAGCAACTTGTCACTTAACCTTCCCCCGCACAATTCCCCCCTCATTATTGAATCGAGCGAACAGATCATCCTTCCGAATCCTTCTGATACATGTTTCCTCATGCGGGATTGGGAAGTGCCTGGAACCGTTATGAACTGCTTGCGCATGAGGCGCCTGTGGGAAACGTATGGATCGAATGGGGCCTAGGATTTCTCAACCACTCACCGGCCGAATTACTCTGGGCCCAAAAGTGTCGCAAAGTCAAGTGTGTCCTAGCTACACTCTTTGAGGGGTTTGCAGTTTCAACATCCATCACCTGGAAACCAACATGAACTGAGAAACCAGCCGATAACTCCCACTTGAAAAGGTGCTTGCGACAGCTCAAGAGGCTTGAGGCGTAGGACTTTTGTCCATTCGTGAGCCTTGAGTTCTAGGAAAATATGCGAAAGACTTAGCTCATCCAAACACCTTATAACTCCGGCTTGTTTGGGACCCTCAGACCACAGGAAAATATTGCCACCAGAGCAACTGACACCAAGGAATACCAAGGATTTTATACATAAAGTCCTGATGCAAACGGTCAGCTGTACAAGCCAGGTAGGTATTGAAAGGTTTTATCAAGGGCTTCAACAATCAAGCGTTTCCACCAAGGGATGTTTGTTGAATTCCACCCAGAAATCCCGTTCTGTGTTTACTGGCCAGCGGGTGATGCGGAGCCCGCCGAACCACGATCACCCCCCCCCGAAGCCATACCCCCCCCAAAGTTATTGATCGCATAGTAAAAGCAGCACTACTACCGTATATCATCATATTGATCCGTATATCTATACCATATTCGCTCCATGTGTTTGAGCCAGCGAAGACCGAGTTTCAACATCGCCGTATGTATCAGAAACAACTCCAATACACTCCCGAAAACTAACATAGACCCTGACCATGGCCCCATGGAAGAGTGGTTTCCTCTACCAACCAGTGGTGCACTCAGGATCCATGGGATCGTCTTCCATTCGCTGTAGCTCTATCGATCCCCTGGAGCCGCACACGGGTCGTGCCGGGAGTTCGCCAGGTCCTTCGGACTCATCATCGGCTCCTTGAGCGTTTGGGTCACGCGCCCGGGCACGGCCAGCCTGCGGAAGATCCTCACGGCCACGCCGGCGATCGGCCATGCGAACTCCATCCCCTTCATGTGTCTATGACCCATGTTAGGGGGAGGCCATTTTAGGGGGTTACATGGGGTGACCCTATAATAGAAAAGGGGAGATGAGGTGTTGGATGGAGAGAAGGTGAAGGTGCAATGTTGGTTTGTAGTACTATGTAGTACTGTCACTGTAGTTTGAAAACAACTTCCCATTTTTGCCGAGGCGATGGTCTATGCTTTTCACCTGACACGACTGTGGAGTCCAAGGTTAGGGCAGGATACATATATGGTGGCGGTGTAGGGTTTGATTGTTCTTGTACTGCCCAAGAAATCCTGCAGAATCTGACATAAATCATGTTTGATAGTGTGCAGCAGAGCATTCAGTGCATGAATATGAGATGATGCAGGATGTTTGTCATCGCGAAGAAGGGCATATATAGGCATGCAAACGTAATATGTCAAGTCGTGTTTGTACGCAGGTTTTCTTGCACGTCAAGTGTTTTGTTGGAGGATGACGTCCCTGGAACTCAGGTTAGTGGGCTTAATTGTGAGCCAGGATCCGGTGTTCGACAACGATGTCAATACAGCGCAGGGCTATGTGGGCTTGTATTTGATCATGCACAGCATCACGCTTTGGGGCGTTGGCATGAACGTGATCAGCAAGGAAAAGGAAGACGAACCAGCTGTGGATGAGAACCTGCCGGCCGCCGTTGAAGGCTCCTTCGAAGAATTGAATGAGCTGAAACAGGGGTACGCATAGTTTGTTTGGAAAAGATTGTGATTTGATCACCAATCTTAGGAACGCAAGGACATAAAGTTTTTTTTTTTGTGGAAGAGGTGAAGAGGTCCATGTGTTATCATTTGTTCACATGATTCTCCAGAAAGAGGCGCTAAATTGAGGCCATCACTAAACCCTGGCTAGCAGGCAAAGATTGTTTGTGCAGAGGATGGTGCTGCATAGAGGGTCATGAGTTGCAGGCCATTGTTTGTTGAATCCAACCATGCATTCTCTTGCAATTATCAACGAACATACTTGGTTGGACAACTGGTAGATCGCAAGTAGTGCATCCCTACCCCAACTGCAAAGTTCAATTCACAGTCCAACAGCCACTAGCCGCTAGCGACATGAACTACTCGTTCATCACACCTAAGAATCCTTTCCAAGAAACTGGTCGGAATCCATGCATGGTCTCCTCAAAACTCCTGTTTTCACCTCCCTTGTTCCACCTCTTCAAACCGCCTTCCCGTCACCCCCCCCCGTCATTCTGCCGACCCGACCGTGGCGCCGACCCGGGTCAAAGCGGCTTTTCAGGCTGGACGGGTCCGGTGCCCACCCCTCTGGGCCGGCAAGTCTCCAGCGGCCGCGGCTTGGAGGAGGCTCGCTCCGTTGAGGCCTTGGAGACCACGGAGACCACGGAGAGAGGTGACGCGGATTCGATGGGACGGGTGACGGTGGGGGCGGGGTGGACTGGCTCCAGCTCGAAGGTCTGGAAATTGGAAGTTTGGTGTTGGCATGTGTTGGGTCTGTCCTATTACCGGCAACAGTCGGTAAACGGCATAGACATAGATGATCATAGATTGTTAGTTATATAATATAGTGTATAATATAGTATAATATACATAATATATATATATATATTGTTATACATATATATGTTGTTATTTTGATTTTAGAGAAAGGCCTCTACTAAACATCATCATTCACTGTCACTGGTAATTCACTGGTAAAGAATGGGATAGACCCAAGGTGTTGGGTTCAAAGGGTTTGCAGAAGATGTGCGGAGTTGTTTTCCCATGACGTTGGAGGCCATGTCTGACTGGTGACCAACAGCTCCCGAATCACACTCGATCTTTGACAGCAGAGCATGCGAACTTAATATATACTTGACTCGAGTGCCAGCCAGGTCAATAGCATGTGTTGAGCATGCAAGGAGCATGCTTGGTGGGTTGATGCTGAGGGACAATGATGTTCGAGTCATGAAATGTCATGAACAACAACAGTAGTTTACAGTGCATTTGCCCTTCGACTGTCGGGTAGCTGGTTACGGGGACATCTTGCGCCAAGGACCGCGATGCGCGATGCTGATGCTTGGACGACAGTAAAGAAGGAGGAAACCCAGGGAAAACATTGCGGGGTTGGTCAGTAGAACACCCAAAGGAAACCTGCTGAAAGTTTACTGTAAATGTCAGTTTTGTGAAATTGTGGGTTTGTTCTATTGATGATTCTGAATAATTCCTTCATTCCCTACGGATCATGTAGGGGTGTTGGACATTTTCTTTTCATGCTTCCTGACTCCAGAAACAAATGGTGCAAATTTTTACAGTGGATAGTTGGGTGTTTGAACAGTCAAGAGCCAACACTTTGTTGTGTACAGTAATGTACAGTAATTATATATATTTTTTATTCCTGTTCAATGCTCAAGAAATAACACATATCATAACATATATCCCCGATCCCATTTCAGACATCAATGACCTTTTGTGCCGGATTTTGTGTTCAAGGTTCGAGTGCTTAGATTAATTTTTTTGAAGACTAACATGGACCCTGAAAACCACTGCTCGGTAGAGGAAAACCATCTTTCAGGGGCCAATTGTCAGGGTCCATGTTAGCTTTCGGGGGCGTATGTGCTTTGTTTGGATGCGGCGAATCGGCCTGGGCAGTGGGAGCAGCTCCAGGAAGCATTGGCGGCGCTTCGTTCCTGCCTGGCTGAATCGTCCAATGGGGACGGCCATTTTGACAGCGATTCTGGGCTTCATCCCTGGGCTGAAGTGGTGTTTCGTCTCTGGTGCTTTGAGTCACTGGGCTTTGAGTCAGTTGGGCAAGGATGCAGTCTGTGGATCAAACAGTCTCGTAAGTTTCTTTATAATAGGCAGGCTGATCATCATCTATGTAGTTGTTAAACATGTTTATTTGTTCTTGACATCCTTTTCAGAGACACGATCTGGTCAGGTGGTGGAACATTTTTATTAACCTGCCAGATGCCCTGCGAAACAAGGCAAAACGATGCAAAAGGAAAACAAGACACCTCGCTTACAAAGCGAGATGGACTGTAGATCTATATAAATGATATGCAAAATACCCTCGCGTTCCTCGTTACAGAGCTGGACAATGAAGGATCTAAATCCACGTCTCCTATAGCTCAGCTAAGCTCCTGCTCAGTTCAGTCGAGGTTCAGTCTTCGGTGCCATGTCTGCCTTGGGCACTGCTGGCCCGGCGATCAGCCTCCTGTCCGTGGGGGCCTTGTTTGTGGCAGATGGTCTTCCGCGCCCATCGGTGGTGGGCTATGCTCCACTGTGTGCAGCACGGCAGCGTGTTCTTCTTGAGGGATTGGTCTGTTGTCGCCCTCACCATGGGTGTTTTGATTGCGGGCCAAAAGGTAGCCAGTGGTTGTTCATGGTTCATTTTCAAATGGTCCTAGGCAGATATTTGAGTGATTTCATGACATTTGTTTGATTTTTGTTTCATATATTGTTCATTCCAAGCCACCCTCAGCCTTGCTTTTGAGACAATGTTAAACACATGTTTCTGGGCCTGCTGAATGCTCTAGTACTGCAATGATCCTGTTGTTTCCTCCTTCTTGTACCAGTTATTTGTAAACATTTGCTTGTGAGCTTGTGGTTTCACGATAGACACTATCATACACATGGTTTACTGTGTCGAAGGGTTTGCAGAGCTTTATTCCTGCGATGGCCGTGGTATAACTCAATCTCTGAGGCATTGATTGTTGGAAGACTCATCATCCTTCCTGCTTGTTCCTTGGCTGAAGGGTTGGGGAAGTGGATCGGCCTCCAGTTGAACCAAGACAGGTGGCGTTACAATGTCTGACGCGTCGGTGACCTCATGCGACCTGTTCAAGAAAAAGGTGGCTTGATGTTCAAGAACCAGATGCCTTAGTTGGGCCTCAAATCAAACACATGTAAAAAAGGCGGCTGTGAAAGTGCTCGTAATGGAAGTGGCGTTTTTGTTTGGCTTGCCGGCTTGCCACTTTGCTGTGGCTAGGTGTTTGGCCGCTGATGTGGCTAGGACCCATCATGCACCACTCTTGGACCCAACATGATGGGCTGTACACATTCTATTGCTTTAAAATCCTACAGGGAGGCCATCGCTCTTAGGTTGGAGCCATCGCTAGTAATATTCCTTCAGACACCGACGCGTGGATGCACCGAGAGAGACCTTGGGAATGGACGATCGTCCCACCAGATCGTCTCACGTGGTCAGGCTGCATCGCTCTTTGGACGACCTTGCGGCAGCATTTGTCCTTCTTCCCCAAAGACCCGGCATTGATGCTGGTCATGTGCATTGAATGCTGCACACCCACAGCCTACAACTTGGTGCCCTGGAGGAGGAGGGTCAGACTCAGCACTTTTGGGCTCGTTGTTTTCCCCTTCCGGCGGTGATTGGGGGTTTATCAATTGGTTGCCTTTGAACACATACATAGCGGAGGACGAGGAGCCTTTTCCCGAGTTTCCGGAGCACAGCCAACATGGATATCACTCCACCGTACAGCCAAACAATCAAGCGCATGCAATGAAGTTTCCCAAAAAAAACGGAAGTGAAGCGTGGCCACCGCCACACCTGTAATGACATAACACCCATTTGCAAGGAAATGGTCTTTATAGTACCTTTAGAGACCTTCTTGATCCTTTTTTTGGAGGTTCATCGTGACATGCTCATTGCTTCGGGCATGCCACGCTTATGCTACCGGACTCGAAGCTGGAGCGAAACCGCTTGAGCCGACCGAAGTCCGGATCGTCGTCGCCGGACGCAGGTGACGATGTGCATTTTGAAAGGCGTTCGAGCCAAAGAGCTCACCACTGGACCCTCGGCCGAGAGGGCGGTGGTGTCTGCGAAGGAGCGAAGGTACGCTGGGTGAAGCCGGGTGTCTTTTGAGTGTTCTTTGGTGGGGTGGTTTTGGGAGAATGGTGGGTCACAGTTGTTTTCTTCTCAGTGTGCCCATGTGAATGTTGGCTGGTTGGGGAACCATTGGGTTCAGGGATAGAGGCTTAACATCACCTCCATAATCTCTGCAGCTCCGTGGATGGGGTGACTGGAACACTCAGCAAAGTCCTATTGTCATCTATTGTCCATGTTCCTTTCCGAAGGCCGTAGATCAAACTTGAGCACTCCGCAAAATGAGATGGGTGCGCTAGCGATAGATCTCTCAATTGAGGTCCTAAACATGAGGGATCACTTATAAAACCAATGTATATGCATATAGGATCCATCCTCATCCTATCTCTGTTATGAGATTAACTAGACAATCATATGAATATGGGATAAATATGGGTATGTACCTGAACCCTGCAAAGTAGTGCGGAACATGGGACATGATCGACCCCATCAAAACAGATATATACTTGCACATACTTGCACCTTTTGGGGAGTACTTTGAGGGTCCAGGTATAGAAACAAAGGTGCCCTAAAGATCCCTAAGGCAGAGGTCACGGAGGTCACGCAACAATCGAGGTTGCACCTGCACCACCTCATCTTCACCCCATCTTCACCTCTCCTATCTCTTTGCGTTTCTTTTCCGTTCGACCCGGGGTCTCCGACCCCAGCTGCGACGGACGGAGAACACCTCTTCGCCCCGCCACGGCTCGGCCGTCAGCGTCGTCAGCATCACCCCAGGTCTCTTCTACCAGTCGCTGGCGGCGATCTTCGCCCTGGCGGCATGGACCACGGTGATCGTCTTCTATGCTCCCGGGAAGCGGTTCAGCCATGCGCGACGCGGGACGTGGGCCATGTTCTCCGAAAAGCGT